TATATATATATATATATATATATATATATTCAACCAAACAACTTGCTGCATGAGCATGAATAATGTTTCATACCACTTCAAAAAATTCACTTGATCAACACAAATCTCAAGATAATATTTAAATTCAAAATTCTCATTATCTTTCAAACTCTGATTTTAACAAACTTGTAGTCAAATTCAACTCAATAAAGTGAACACATCAACAAAATAAATATTTCAATCTGAGTCTAAATGAATCTAAATCAAACACTTAATGTTTATTTAAAACTTCTCAATATAAATTGAAGGATCAAATGATCTCCAAATATTATATAGTTATAATCAAATGGAGCAACTCAATAAGGCAAATGCACGAGTCCAAAGTCATCTAATTATAATATCATTAAGACATTTAAATGTTGAATAAATGACTATAAATAAAAGAATCAATATAAACAATTCAATAGAATGAGTTAAATCCTGACCAAATAACAAACTGCCTTAAAAAAAAGCTATAAATAGCCCTCCATTTTCTTTCTCCTCAACTTCGAGCAGAGAGTAGGGGTGTCAATTCGGATCAACGGGTCGGGTTCGGGTCGAACACGAAATTGACCCGACACTGTTCGGGTCAACCCGAACCCGACCTATTTTTAAAAACGGGTCAAGTTTTCGGACCCGAACACGACCCGATTCGGGTCCGGGTCAACCCGAACCGACACGAATGACCCGAAGTTGACCTAAAATTGCTAATTTTCGGGTCAAAATCAGGTCAATCTTCGATTTTTCAGGACAAAAACGAGTCAATCTCGGGTTTCCAGGTCAAATAGGAATTTTCGTGTCAATTTCGGGTCATTTTCTAGTTGCTGGGTCAACCCAAACATGACCCGATTTTTAAAATGGGTTGATTTGTTGAACCCAAATCCGACTCGTTTCGGGTCTGGGTTGACCCTAACCCGGATTTTTCCGGATCAGGTTCGGGTCGTGTCAAAAATTGACACCCTAGCAGAGAGAAATCTTAATTTTTTCCAATAAGCCAGCTAGTTAAAAAGCATATGTAAACTTCCCAGAAATAAAAGCACCCAGTATTCCTAAAGAGGGACGGAGTACTGCTTATAAGAAATTTCTTTTCTTTCTCATGCCATACTTTTGAGTAGACAATAGAGCCTTACGTGCATAATGAAACAATCAATTTAAGCATAATAGCTTTAAATATAGCCTTCAAAATTGCATAATAATTTCTGCATTTTTCCCCAAATCTGTGCTTACAGAAATCCACAAAGCAATGCCTTCTTATGTTAAAGCGTAATGATGTTAAACTTTACTTATAAAAGGCTTAAATTATCATAATTTTCATTATAGGAAAGAATGGTGCTAAAACTAGTTGCATTAATAAAAAGGTGAAATAAATGTAAACATCTATGCACGTGTTCCGTGTCTTATGAGAAATTATTCTGTGCGGAGACTGGATGCAGAACGTTGGCTGGAGACTAACCAGAATACGCCACATCAGCAGTACCAAGCCACGGTACCAAGTGATACCGAGCAGTACCGAGCCGCGGTACCGAACAAAAGGTGATGTGGCGCATTCTAGTTGGTCTCCGAACGGCGTTCAGCATCCGCACAGTAGGTCTCAAAGAACTGAGCAAGACAATCTAGAGAGTAATTATCAATCCAAATACAATTATGTTTGTGTTTCTTGCAATTCAAGGAGAGATGGGTGAGTTTGTGAGATTTCATACATTAAAACTAACTTTTCTTTTTAAGTACATATAAAAAGAAATAAAAAAACTAGCTCTACACTTCATGACTACTGATGGGGAATTCATTCATGACAAGGTCTCTCCAACCAAACGCAAAACAAGCATTTGTCATCCGCAAGGACCTAAATCATGTAGCTATTTAATTATTAAGAAAAGATATGGAAAACTGCGAAAAGAAATGTATTATATATCTTTGAAGAATCACAATGCATGTACAAGAGCTACACAAAGCATTTTGACAAAAGAAATTTTCAAAATCCATTAAAATATGACCGTTATTGATAGGAGTAAAAAACTAAGACAATTTCTAAAACACATGAGACGCTAATCAAATACATAGAATAAATTAAATGATATGCAAACAAGAGATGATAGCGAATGAACTCACTGAATCATAAAAATTGTGAATATATTAGCTATGAAAATACTCCAAACTAGGGCTGAAAATGACCGGAATCAGTCGAGGCTTCCTGCAGGTGCTTCACAGCATTATCGTAGTTCAGGAATCCCATGAACCAGAACTCATGGTTGTCAACTGAGACAATCTGAATATATTTTTCTGCTGGATTTGCTTTGCTTATTGAAGGATTGACGGATCTCAGTTGGCGCAGAGGAATAACAACCTGTTTTCAGTTCATAAAAAAAGTATAGGTTATAAAATGTTGAAGATAATCAAGTGTTGTCGGCTAGGAGAGAATGCCACAATTAGTCCATTTTGACTGCGAGCTAGGTGTGAAATAAATAGTAAATTGAGCGAGAGGCAGTGATAGAACTAGAATTTCTAAGTGGAAGGGGGATGAAAGGACTTATGGTAAATTTTTTATGATATATATAGTTGACAACTTAGGCTTCGTTTGGGACGGCTTTCTTCCTGCTTCTTAAAGTAGTTTTTTAGTATAAAAATTTTAATTTTTGTATTAAAAAATTATTTTAAGAAAAAGTAAGAAAACAGTCCCAAATGAAACCTTAATGATAAAACTTTCATACTATACATAACTACATAAGACAATTTCTTCAATTAAAGGTCCGCAAGCCACCCAGGTTCCCTCCTTAATTGCACCACTATTGACAAGTAAGAAATCTACTTACTCTAAGATTTAAATTTACAAATTCCCGTTCAAAAACATTGGCTACTGAGGATTCCATTTTACCGAATGAGCATTCTAAAAGATGCTCGCGCCCTTTGCTCTCTATTATCAGAAGTTTTGGTGATGCCCAAGATTTTGCTACAATAATTTAAGATAGAAAATATCAAAATAAGGATAGCTACTGTTCTCAAGATCTGCTGTTTTATATTATTCACGTAAACCGATTTTCTTGCCATGCAAAGCAAGTTACTCTGACCAAAAACCCACTTCATGTGGATGGATCAATGCTAGTCTATGGAAATAAATTTCCAGAACCTGAAAGATTATTGGCACACAATAATTTCTTGAGATGGTACACAAGAGATCAATGATGCACACTAATCAGATGAGCCAGATAATTTAATCATATGGTCGTAATTTGTGAACCTCAACAAGACTCTCACCTCTTTTACATTTTAAAATACAGACTTATGTGCTGTAAGAACTATTCTTATAAACAATAGCAACTACCAGTGAAAAGAAAAAAATTAACCAAAGGAAACTTCCAAGGACAGAAGAAGCAAGAACTGATAGAACTAAAAGACCGGGTGAAATAATAAGAGAATTATTATTTAACAGAATCATGTTTAGATTATTAATTGATTTGCTGACATTAAATTCCTGTAGCAATATATATTGTTTTAATACAAACCTCTTGATTCTTGTATGTGGCTGATTTGTTTTCTCTATTTAACTTTTATTTACGCTCCATACTTCAGCTGGAAGAAAGCTAGGGATGGGGAAAACCAAGTTAACGCAGAAGAGGATAATGCGAGCATTCTTCAGGACCAAGGATTAGTGATCACTGATCAGGCAAGGATTTTCATCGAAAGATAGCAGAGTGATGGAGAGAGATCGAGAGAGAAGGTGGTGTTCAAGGTCGGCTTCTTAGAGGGAAACCAAGATTCACACTTCTTCTACATTGTCCTTCGCCATTTCTTACCAGATCTTGAGAAGAAAGAAAGATCAACAAGAGATGAATCTAAGGCCAAATAAACTTATTAGTTTCTGATAGGTACAGGAAGCTCAGGTTTGTTCTTTCCATTTATCTCTTTTCCCATTCAACATTGTTAAGTAACATAAAAAAAAAACGAACTACAAAAAGATATGTCATCAGAGAAAGGCTTGCAAAAGCGTGTAATTGGTTGAATTTTGGAAGCAATAAAAGCTAAGTCATGATTTCTTCCTATAGATGTAGGCAGCCCCGTGCCAAACCACTTATATCATCTTCTTCTTATTTGTTTACCATTTATTATTCTTGTTATTGTTGTAAATTAATACAGAGCTATATTTTCCATCTTTCTTGTTGTTAAGTTCACAAGTTGTCATAAGTTTACATATTAATTGGATAGAATATTCTATTTGCAAGTGATCTTGTTCTAATGAGTAAAAGAAAAGATCAAAATTCAAAGAAAATCTGCTATATCCATACATTGACAAGTTGGTAATTTTCTTTGTAGGATTTGTTAAGTAGTAACAAACTTCAAATACAAATCTTACCACAAGATTTAAAATTTATTTGGTAAGTCTAGTTACTAATATTCGGAATGATACAGATATAAATTCAACGAATTGGTATCAAAGATTTTTAGGGATTTTCAAAAAAGCAAATTTCTAAGGTCAACAAGGTTTAATAGTAAGATAGATTTATCGATATGAGGGAAACAAATGAAGGCCATTCTAGCCCAGATGAAGGCATCTAAGGCCTTGAAAGGGGAAACAAATTGCCAACTTCATTCATTGTAGATGAAAAAGTAGAAATCATGTAGTTAACATATAGTATGTTAATGCTGCATTTGAGCAACAAGTTACTTTGAGAGATCAATAAGGAGATCATTGCGGCAGGAATTTTGGAATTAGAAAAGATGTATATGACTAAAAGTTTATGAAATAGGATTCACAACAAGGGCAGACTATTTGGATTTAAGAAGTTTAAGAAAAAGAGTCTAGACTATAATATGGATTATTTCAATAAGATCATATATTTAGAGAACAATGGCATCAAGGTAAACAATATGGATCGGGCTATTATAATTATGAATTCATTACCTAAATCATATAAGCATCTTATTGGAATAAAGAAATAAGCTCGTTAGACTATCATAAGAAAAGGCTGAGACAACTTTGAATTACAAGGAAATAGAAACTACGATTGGGGGAAAAAAGGCAAAGAAAGATTAATGTTTGAATACTAGATGAAAACCGAAGACAAAAGAAAAGGGCAGATGGAATTTCAAATAAAGGTCCAAATTTAAGACCACTTTCAAAAAATCTCTGACATTAAGGATGAACATTATAGATGGAGGATGGGGTGATTAGAACTCTTAAAGAAATATGTTATCTCTTAGTAAGATGGATGCGTTAGGTTGCACTTTCAAGGTTGAGAGTAGAGTGTTCAAACTAATTAGAAGTTCAATTGTGACTATGAAGGGCAAATGATATAATGGTTTGTATTCACTATTGAAGAATATTGTGATTTGATGGATAGATGCTTCGTATGTAATTGAAACAAATCTTACAAGTCTTTGGCATCTTCTTCTAGGTCATATAAGTTAGAAGATTTGGATGATTTGCACAAAAAAGGAGTCTTTGGCAAAAATTTAAGTAGAGAAGATATGATTTATGTGAGCATTATACATCTTTAGGAAACATATTAGGATGAAAGTTTCATGCCGGACAAAATAAAACCAAAGGAACTGCTATATATATATATGGGAACCTACCATTGTTCCAAAGTATTATGGAGGAAAATACTTTACATCCTTCTTACTAAAAGATGATTTGTCAAGGAAAGTCTGAACTACATTTTAAAACAAAGAAATGAAGCTTGTAAGACATTTAAGCAATGGAAAACTTAAATTATTCATCAAAATTGGAAGAAAATTAAAAGACTGGTAACAGATAATGAGTTTGATAGGAAGTACTTGAGTTCGCAAGTAACCCCAAGAGTAATACTTGAGTTCGCAAGAAAACCTAGCAAGATTGGGTGGAAACAATGAAGAAAAATGCAGTTTACAGCAGTTAAACAGAAAATAACAGCAGATTTTCTTAGGAAAACAGGGAAAACTGAGAGAAACAATGAGGAAATCCACTAATAGATGAAAGAAAACAGCAAACGATACAAATTTCTTCAATTCGAGGGGAAGAAACAGCTCTCCAAATCTCTAGTCAAACCTAGAGCTCAAGAACACAAACCCTAGATCTCAAAATACTTTTCAAATTCAAGATGCCCTAACCCTAGGAAAACAAAGTATTTAATGCATACAAATCAAAAGAAAATCCCTAAACAGTCCCTACATTCAAAATCCCCTCTCAAACCCCTCAAAAAATCCTTCCAAACAAGTCCCCCGAAACCTACAGCCCGTTCGGTGCATGAAGGCAGGCGGAAAGTTCCGCCTGTTTTGCGTGAGTTGGACTGGTCTAACAGAGTTACAATAATTGAATAGTAAGATTACTGAGTTTTGCAAAGATATTGTGAGATTTCTCGACATATGATAAAACGATTGACTTCACAATAGAATGGTATCGCTGCAAGGACAAACAAAACTTTATTAGAGTAGATTAGATACATGGTATCATTTGTAAAAAGGGATAAGCATTTTCGGGTTGAAGTCATTAATAATATTTGCTACTCGGTGGATAGAAGTTCATCTACAACTATTGAACTTAAAATTCTAGGAATCTAGACAAGGAAAAAGATAAACCATAATAATCTAAAAAATTATGGATGTAGGTTTATAATCACATAAATCAAGGAAAATTGGACCAATATTCAAAAGATGTAAGTTCTAGGATATAAGGAAGGAGTGAAAGGATATAAATGCTAGATGACAGATGAATTCAAGTTCATTCCTAGCAAAGTTGTCGTCCTCAATGATAAAAAAATCATGATAGGACATATTACAAAAATCAAGGAATCATGATTAGCACTTTAGATTGAGTGAAATTACGAGGGGCAATCATAAAGATCAATTGTAGGTGCATTTGACACCAGAAAAATACAATAGTCAGAATCACAAAGAAGCTACTACACAGGAAGATTAGACTGATTTTAGAAATTATAATCTAGCGAGAGATCACACAAAGAAGATTATAAGTGCATCTGAACGATTAAGTTTAGCTGATATAACTATATATGTTCTTACCACTATTGAACAATTGCTAAACAATGAGCCCAAGTCATAAAAATTAAAAAAAAAAATAAAAAAAAAAGTAATGCACGATGATGTGAAAAATTTTTGAAAACAAGCAATGAATAAGGACATAAATCACTGGAGAGTGGAGAAGAACTGCACTTTGAACCTTTTAAATAAACCAACGAACATAAAAATTATGGACTAAAAACAAATCAACAAAAGAAAAGATGATACTTAAAATGTTGGGAAGGCAAGATATAAAGTTAGATCAGTGTCAAAGGGATTAACCCGGAAAGAAAGAGTTTCAATGAGATTTCAAGCATACTTCAATCAAAGTAATTTTATCTCTAGTAACTCGAT